AAAAAAAGGGGGGGGGGGGGGGGGAATTGAGCTATTAAAGGTGAAGTGTAAATTTTGGCACCACTGGTGGAAGCAAATGGAATTGCAGTCTGTTTGTGTGAGAGAGCAGTGCAACACTGGCTCAACCAATGGTGTGAATTTGTGGAAGAACCTGTTTGTATGAACATGGCAAATATGAGGAGTGTCTGAAATTAGTTTTAAACTATTTTAGCAATGGCATTTGGTCCAGCTAGTGAAGGAGAAAATACACACTTCACCTTTAATGTAAGGTTGCAGTTATCTGTCAAAGGAACATTCTTAGACACAGGGATAGTCCCAAAACATGGCCATTCAAAGAACAGTCACATCAGTACATAGCAAACATGTTAACATAAGGGACATTCATCTGGACAATCCAGACACACGTCACTGTCTCCATAGAAATGCCCCGTCATCCTTCAAAAACTGCCCCCCCCCGGGTACTCGCATTTGAGGTGGAACTGCTTTGAAATGACCTGTTGCCATGCGGCAGGACCGATGATTAAGACGTAGGTGCGTTAATGAAACTTATTAATGACTCTTCTCATCTGAAAAGGGATTTATTAAAATAAACGCATAATTAAATTTAGCGACGTCGAACAATGCCTGATAGTGGCTACTTTGATTTTGTTTAAAAGTAATTATGCAGAATTGACATGAGTGAGAGTGGTGCTGTGGCCCCTCTAATGAGTTAAATAAGAAAAATCGCTCAAGTTTCAGACTCTGGCAGGAGCTAATTGTGTTAATATGATGGTTTCCACAATGTTGTCATTTCACTTTTGGTCTTATTTTCTTTCTTTTTTTCTCCCTCAAATCCATAGCTAAACAAAAGATGAATTTCTTAAATTTTCAAATCTTTGCTTATCATGGATTTTCATAGTAATAATCTTATATAAGAAGACGCAAATCACAAGATAAAGTCTTGCAATTAGCAACTTAGACAAACACCCAAGTAGATTTGTGTCTTAGTTTATTACATGTTCAGCCTACTTGTGGACACTGTTGTTTATGTTATGTTTTTATGAAAACAAATGTACACAAATAGGAAGACTATTCTTTATGAACATGACTAGTAGTTTCCTTTTGTTGTGTACAGAAATTAGCAATTTTCCAATTAAATGGAAAATGAATGAATAAACGAACGAACAAACAATCAAACGAACAAACAAACATGATGCACAAGATAACACTACCATGCCAATGTTTGGGTGGGAAATTAATGAACA